TCTCACCAGTTCACTTTTTCAAATGATGTGGTTTGTAAGGAGTTGGCTGTTAAGAAGCAGTTAGCCAGCATGTAGCAAAGCAGCTAACTTTACGATAGAAGGCTAGCCAACAAGAACGCATGTCCAAAGCAGAGCTCTACAGACAAAACTTGGTTTAAACAGCTGCAAAGGCAAGCCTGCCATCAACTTGAGTTGGTACGATAATTGAATAGTCCAAGTGCATGCACATCTCATGGATGAACTGGCAAAATAGCTGTTTTTGACAGAGGTAATTTTTTCATAAGGCGCAATCAAGGGCACAAGACTCAGAGAAAATGTTCCTTTTAAGCATCCTTAAACACTGAAATTTCTATCCTGATGTGAACAGTTAAAGATTCTAGACAAAGGTTAAACTGTGCTACATGCACGAAACCCGCTTGTAATCAATATTTGCCGTGGTTGCCGAACATGGCTTTGGGGGAAACAATCAAAGATGAGCCTTTAGAGGGGGGGTTACCATGCTAAAAAACTAATTTGTAACTGAAGTTTGGTTGGTTCAGGCACAGGATTAGGACTCTGCCCTGCCACAGGTAAGAAGCCACAGTGGAGGGAAAAAAAAGAACGACCCAGTGTGGATGTTGCAGTATGTCGTGAACAACTCATGAGAGAACATCCTGTCATGACCAAACTCAGGACTGGTAAGGATGGACTGGGTAGAGCAGGGTTAGGGTGGTGGTTGTGTTGTGGTTGAGGCTAGGGTTAGGGTTTGTGAAACCGGGATGAGACATGTGAAACTAGGGCTAGGTTGGAATGGGTAAGACTGGACTGGGTTAGAGCCAGGGTTAGGGTTGGACTGGTTAAGACTGGGGAGGCCCAGGGTTGTTATGGATGAGAAAGCAGGAATGTACTGTACATACAACAGATAGATACAGAGAGATATGGTTTACTACAGAATCTTGAGAGTTAAAATAGGCTACTATAACAAATGAGTTCAGCAAAGTAGCATACATACCAACTGTGATGAGAAGCTGCAGTCAGCAACCTTATGGGTATCGGCCATAGTTGATTGGATTATGTAGAAAAAAAAAAAACTGTTTAAGTTGTTGCAGAAGAAAAGAGAACCTTGAGGAGCCCATGGAGACATCATTGCTGTTGCTAGTGGAACAAGCACAAATGATGGCAAAGCTGGCCAAACTGATCAATGCCACGCAAACCATTGAAATTGGTACCCCTGAATGATAACACAAGCTTAAGTCCTGAAACATTTTTTAATGTTACGTATATAATTGGAAGATATTTCATTGTGCCAATCTTTCAACATTCACTAATTCTGAATGAAACTGCCATCATTTATAATATCAGTGAGAGGTGTCCTGCTTAGCACCATGGCCGTCAGCGTCTTGGGAGAAGAGGACTAATGTTCATTATTTTCCCCTCTCCCAGTGATGTACACGGGGTAAAACACCCTGAACATGGCCTGGTTGATACCAGAGAAATGGTCAAGTGGGTTGTGAGCGTGTGAAGATAGACAAGAGAATTAGGTGACATCGCTCCAAACCGTCTTTAAAGAGGTCAGATCAACATCCGCTGCCATTCAGCTAGTTTACTTCCCCCAGCATTCCTCTAGACAGGAGAATTAGATCTGTTCAGCCACTGTATTCAACCCAATACAAACAAATATCAACCATCAACCCCTTGAATTCAGGACACATTGATTGTCTTCCCCAAAAAGCTTCTTCCTAAGCATAATCAGTATATAACATCGGTAAGTCAGACTTACAACCCGTGCTGTGGGGGAGGTAGTGAGGCCGTCTGACACTAGAATAAAAGTCACTAAAGGTGCGCAAAGCCAAGCAGCAGAGAATCCATACAATGAACTAATACCCCCTAAAAACCCCAACAGTTTAGAAATACGAATGTACACCCAAAACAGGTCAACCAGTGTGACAGAAGAATGCTTGGTATCGTCTGCTTCAAACCATCTAAACTCGAAAGCAAAACAAAGTAATTTAAAGAAACATCTCAATGGCATAACAGTAAAGATGCCTCTGGACAATGAAAGGCATGAAACTAACCACCCTTGTCATCCTTTCTCTTTTCTAGGCCGGGGGGTCGAGGATTTTAAAATGAATGTCTTCACCCCGTCTTCAAATGTGTATAAAAAACACTGGGGTAGGTGACTGACTGTTAAGAGACCCAAACACGATTCCATTGTGGAAATGGGTCAATCATTTTCAATGTGATCTTTAGTTTTGTTCCTAATGAGTGATAGCTGGCGTGGGGAAGCGGGCACTATGAATGGTGTTCATCGATGCGGGTTAAACGGAAAAATATGAAGATATGACGAGAAGTCGTCTTGAGCTTGGTGAGACAAGGGGGCATCATTTGGCCACGATATGTGAGATGAGACTATTGCCCAAAACTTTAATTCCTACAAGCGGAGGAATTGTGATTTGGAATAGTGATTTGATATAATGCCAGCATGCAAGCGATTTGAGTCCTGAGTAACTGAGGTAAAGATGCATGAAAAGATGGGCTTAAATAGAAAACACAGAGAAAGTGGCAAGGCGGCCATATCAAACTCAGTCTGAGCCTCTCTCCTCAACTGTCTCCCCTTCACCTCGAACGTCCTCTATGTCTCATCTGGAGTTACCTTTCATTGAGCGTATATCTGAAGACCCCCCCCCCCCCCCCCCCCCCCCCCCCCCACCTTCTCCCCCCAGGTACTGTGGGAGTGGGAAAAGTTAAAGTGGTGTGAACACTGCTCTGATGACCTGATCTCCCAGGCTCTGGACAAGCGTCAACAGAGAAACTCCACACAGGACCAGAGATCGATCCGGAGCATGCTCACGTGGGCGATGGACTCACCCTGGACCATCAAACGTTTAACGGACAAACCCATGACTAACTAATGCTTAAACCATGATGACGCATGCTAACCTGCTTACTCCAAACCCATTTTGGGATTATTTGAGATTTATTGGGATGTGGGTAAAATGAAGGGCTGGGTGGAATAAATAAATGGATTTAATGTAGAGTGCGATTCACTTTAGCTGTGAAATTAGAAAAGCATGTCAGCCTCTATCTCAGTAAGAAAAATCACTACCTTTTACCCCCAGAGGGATTTTATTTGATTCAGGGGTGGACAAAAATAATTGTTATTAGATTTAAATTGATACAGGCTTAAACTGGAAGGACACAGACGCAGAATACCATGTGGAATTTTATTGAATAGTTTGGTGTAGGCCTCGTCTTCAGAGAATGCTGTAAGCCAGATGCTGATGACAGGTTGCCCTATCGAAACCCGCCCCAGCTGGGCGAAGAGGGATCCGATGACGCGTGTCAGGTACATGCTGGTGGGGAGGTGGAAGGTTTTGGAAGACTTTTGCTGCAAAAACAATGAAGTTGAGACCAAGGGGCGTAGTGAGATTGACATACTATTTAGTCTCAATCAAAAGTTTTGGACACCACCTACTCATTCAAGGGTTTTTTTCGTTATTTTTACATTTTTACATTGTACAATGATAGTGAAGACATCAAAACTAGATATACACATATCATGGCAACGCTTGAGGGTTTTTCACGGCTCAACAGTTTCCTTGTGTATCAAGAATGGTCCACAACCCAAAGGAATCCGCCATCTTGAAACAACTGTGGGAAAACATTGGAGTCAGACATGCGGCATCACCTCGTGTGGAATCGTTCGGACACCTTGTATAGTCGATACCCGACGAATTGAAGTGGCAAGCTCAATATTAGGAAGTGTTCCTAATGTTTTGTACAGTCAGTGCATATACTGAGTGACTTTCACATCGGTCCTGAAAGCACTTTATCTAAACTTTTGCGTATTAGGGGGTTATGGAAGTTAGGGGCTTACAAGTTAAATATTAACAATGCCACCGAAATTATAAACATGTTGCCTATGAAAATGTGTGGTTGAAAATATGGGAATCACTGAGTATCTATTCGAAATTTACATTCTATTCAAGTGACATGGACGTTAATTTGTAGTGCTATTTGTGTGTGATACACAATTACAATAAATAAAATTATGTTTGCTGAAAACATTGGTTGTTTTTTATTTTAACCCTATCTCTCGCATAGAGGTTGTCATTGTCTGGATCAAGAGTGTAAATAATCATATTCTGATATCATATTCATATTTCATTCAAATACATCATGATTTCGTGTGAGCGACCTACCGTATACTGCCTTGTAGTGGGGGTGTTGAATGAAGGCTGTAACACTGAACACATCCAGGCCATTGCTTGTTTTCGGGCTTTTCAGCCAAGCAGACAGCCATGCATTTTCGATGTAGACATAGTTAAAAGGTTGCAAGATACAGGCAAACTCCACCCCTTTTCAAGCTCATTTCAGCAGGTTTGGTGCTGGAGGATGATGATTGTGAGGGTTGTGAAAAGTGGCTTGGAAGTTGCCCTTTAAAAAAGTGCTGCGTGACTTGAGGAAATGGGAGCGAGTTATGTCTGAGGGCTTAGGGTATCTAGATTACTATTATACAATGCATTACAGCTCTTGTATACAGGTTAATATACAGTTCATACAAGGCAAGCACATTCAGCACAAACCAGGATTTGCAGCCCTTTCGATAATATCAAGAAAATGCATCAAAACAGGAAAGCCCCTTGGATAAAACAGATAGTCTGAACACCGGACAATTCATTGAAAAACATATGATCTTTATAATTTGAGGTGGAAATTTGGTTGGACTGACCGCGAAGTTTCACAAGAGTGAGCTGATGCGTAACTGCGTCTGCGACAAAACGATTGAGGGACGAGAGAGAGAACGATAGAGAGAGATGGACAGGCGACGGACAGGGTAAGACGTCGCGCGTTGGCAGGACAGTCAAGCCAAAGTTGCATTCTTTTACAGTTTCCAGCGACGATGATGGGACAGTTCTATTCTGCAGCCGAGAGACTGAGGGGGGTTATAAACGGTTGAGCGCGTGCTGCTAGCCTGCCCACCAACACGGTGAGTCTACTGAGACAAATTGAGAAACAGAATGGAGTATCCTTCCGGGTTCTCCGCAGGTAGGGGAGCTCAAGGATGAGTAGTATTCCCGCTTTCACCCAAACTGAATGGATCCCCTCTGGCGTCCGGACCGTTGGCGTCTGAGTCGACTACCGCATCTATGAACAGAGGATATGCGCAACCAACGCTGAAGAACGACCATTCGAATCCGTTCCGGAGAGGCTTTTTGATTTCTCAAACCAATTACCGGGGGGTGTGACGAAATGAATGAGAAAGAAAGAACGCTCCATGGTGAACGACCGTTGACCGCGGACCCATTCAAAGAGAAGTGCGTCATCTGGGAAGCATCAAACCCATGAATGCTCGGAGGGCAATCGAGGAAATCAAACAGACAGCACACCCCGTCCCCGCGGTCTCTGGCCCCACGGAGCACGACCCGGAGATTATGGATCTAGGAAACGAGTTAATGACATAACCTTCAAGACGCGTTAATGATCGAGATAGAGCATCAGAACCTGGAGGAAGATTCCTCACACCTTGAGAGACCCAAGTACGAGCAGGAGGCGCGTGACCGCTGGATGCAGAGAACGGCATCCTTGTGCGAAAAAGGACGCCAACGATCTGGCATACCTCGCCAAACTTGAGTTGGACAACCGAGAAGAGAAGAGCGGTCGTCTCTAGTGTGGACGAGATCCAGTTCCTGAGAAGAACCATCTGAGACGAGGTATTCGGAGGATGGTGCGCCCAAGATCAAGAAGAGGGCTCAGGTAACGCGGTCAAGGCGACACGACTTTGCAAACCCAGGGAGTGGATCAGCGCGGCTCGCCGGGACATCCGTGCACAGTTAGAAGGGTAACGTGATGCCTCCGGACATGTCAGCCCGGGCGGAGGGAGGGCTTCCGGTGTCCAGTTCGCAAAGTGAACCAAAGCGGCGAGAGGCAGAGGCAACAGAGAGGCGGCTGAAGGGGACCCGCAGGAGATCCAGGTAGAATAGAAGGTGCGCTGCAGTGAAAAACAAATATTGGGAACTGGACTGCGGCGGAATGAACGAGAGAGGCCCTGGAAAACAACTACACGGGTTGGAAGCAGCGGTCCACCTATGCGGGAAATGATGGTTAATTACCAGGTACCGGATGGGCTGGTGGGTTTGTTGCTGCCATCCTTGTGTGGCCCTCTCTGTGCCACTCCTCCAGGGTTTCGGTCTTTGGGCGGGGCGCCCCTTGAGCCGGTACTCCCGTTATTTGTAGCCTCTAATATTGCTAAATAGAACTACGACATTTTATGATTCCATTATTTGTATTCAGGCCTAGGTTGTGGGGTGTCGGCCACAACATAGGCCCATGTGAAACTAGACCATTATTGGAATATACACTTTCCTCATATTATGGCCTAGAAGGGGGGTTTAGAGACATCTATTCCCCCCGCCCTCCTGAGTAATTGTATCCAGTGTGTCATACCAACCAAAGGGCGGTGGACACTATCTATTGACTCATTGGCTGTGTGCTGTTCTGTCCAGGGCATACTATCAGGCAGCTGGAGAATGAGCTGACAATGCTAACTGAGAATGTCGGGCTACTGCAGAGAGTACCAGGACCTGCGAATGTCAAAATGGCTTTAGATGTGGGGAGATTCATCTTTAAGGTTGAGAGACATCAACCCATCTCTCCCATAGATAATTATTCTGGACTGAGGAAAACACCCCGGAAAAAAATACCATATATGTTAGAGTGTGTTCCCTGGATCTTTTTCTTTGAGATAACCAAGGGTGTGCACGTTTATCTAGCCAGCACTAAACACATCTGATTTAAACTAGTGCTGGGGTAGGCAAAACTGTGCAAAGTGTCATGTGAAGTGAGGGAATTATACAAAACACAGTAAATAGTAACAATGAAGAAAGACCAATCAAAATTAAACAGTGGACATTTTATTGAAATAGTTCCGCTTGACCTACAATGGGGGGGGTGGAGGGCATTGTTCTTCCCTCCTTTCCTTTTCCCCCCTTTCCCCCCTTTCGTTCCGGTGTCCCCCACCCTTGATGTCCATATTTAAACGATCAAATGACCACCAGACCATATCACAACACAGAATGACACTTTAACCTCATAATTGGATAATCAGAGCACGATGCACACTACACAGTTGCGCGGGGTTAGCGTTCGCGCCAAGACCCGCATGATCTCGGCGAGCTCACATGAGATGTGCACCGCCCCTGGTGGTGATCAGGTCTGGTATTTACGATGGGGGCTAACACATTGGGACATATCCATATGTAAGTCTGACGGGGTCATGAACAGGTATTGCTCTGTCTCCCTATAGGAACATAACTCCTGGAGGGTGAGGAGTCCAGTCTGTACACAATCTCTGACACCCACATTCTCAATGCCCTGCCATCTACAACCAGCCCCCCGTTAACATGCCTGCCTGGCCCAGGCAGGGAGGGTCCCATCAGCAGATTGTGCCCAGTACAAGGTTTAGAGGATTTTTATCATAAACTGAGACCACAAGAGAGGTGGACGATGTCAGAGATCGAGGGGAGACAGGCTCCGAGGAGAACAGGATACGAGGAGACGGCGGGGGACAGGGACGAGTGAGCTTGCGACGAAGCAGGGAGAAGAGAGAGGTGATGATTAAAGCTGATAGGAGGAGTGTGGAAGAGGAGGATGAAGAGAAAGAGAAAGATGAAAGTTGAGGAGTTTTGAGTTAGTAAGTGGACGTATTGATGTGGCACGCCCCAGAGGAACCACCCGCGGCCCCCCCCGTGGAAAAGAGGAAGATCTCTAAGAGGACAGCAGATGGAAACATTCGAGCGAGCCCTTTGTTTTTGCGGTAGCGATGAATGGAGATGGGAGCGTTAACCCTGCGGAGGGAGAAGAGGAGAGGAAGGCAAGCTGACGACCAGAGAGGGAGAAAAAGGGGGGAGGAGCCAGATGAAAGTAAAAAGGACAGTAGGAACATTGAAGAGGTGAAAAGCCAAACGTCACCAAAGGCCCTGAGCTAGTCAAATCAGCGGAGGCCACCCTTAGAGGGAGGGAGGCCGGGATGAGAATGAAAAGATCTGGGTACACAGACCGGAGGGGGTAGACACCACGAAAAAGTGAGAAATTAGAAAAAGATGAAGCACAACAAAACCTGCACGACGACCGCCAAACCAGACCGGTTCCCCCATGAACGGTGAACGAGCTGCCAACAGAAACAAACAGGAAGTTTCCAATAAAGGGTGAACCACAGTCCCGCATATGGAGGACATCTCCACCCAGAGTATTGTCCAGAAAAACCCCCGGTGTTCAGAGGAGAGAAACCAAAAGGAATTAATTTAAAGATTGAAAAAGAGAGGATCCGCCCCCCCCGGATAGATTAGTTGAAGCCCGGAGAAGTCCCCGGTTACCTCCATCGAGGAGCAAGCAGCAGGATAGCCCCAAAGAAAAGTCATCACGAGAGGAAAAGGAGGTAGATATGACAGGTAGCAGAGGTGCCGCCCCTTCCCCAACCGACTGGGGCACGAAAACGTGATGCCCGGACGAAAACGTGGAACAGAAGGAGCACAGAGAGTCAGACACCCATTCTGCCTCAAGACCCGGTTAGAGTGGAGCTGCGTGGTGAGCACACACAAGAAGCCCAGCAGTGCACAGTGGTGTGAGAACGCCAGAAGAGGGATCTCCCTTTTGTGAGACGCACTAGAGGAAGGCATGGAATCCCCTGATATCGTATGCGAGCTGGGAAGAGCAGTTTCAACAGACGCCCGGCAGTGGCGATTTGGTGAAAGTCACCAGATGATTCTGGGTGTAAAACCCAACGACACCGGATGACCACCAACAGTAGAAGTGAAAAACATTACAGGACGAGGATTCCCAGCACAAACAAGTGAACGGGTAAGGAAGAGCCGTTGTGTGCCCCAAAGAAATCCTGAAAAGGAGGTGGGTGCAAAGACGCCAAACGTGGGCAACAAGGAGAATAGTGTTGAAGAAACAGGTGAGCTGAATGAATTCGCATGCAGGTGAAAAGTTCACAAAAAGATGTCTAAACAGGCTGAGGAAAAAGTCGGAAAAAAATCTAGTACCTCCCCTATCCTAAACCAGACCAAAAACCGGTTCACGAGTCAAAGAGAAGAAACATCCCACTAAAACCAGAACTCCACTTCTTTCACTTACCTTAAAATTAATGGATAACATCCCCAAAAACATCGCACCCCCTCCCATCCGTTCACCCGCCTAAAGAGAAACATCCATCTCCCCTAAACCAGACCCCCACTGTCACCCCCAGTAAAGCAGAAAGGAAGAAATCTACATCCCCCCCTTGTAAATCCTGACCCCACTCTCCCCGCTTCGCCTAAAGAGGAGATTCCCATAAAACCTAGACCCACCCACTATCACACCGAAAGAATTTTACAAACATTTCCCATAAACACAGGACCTCTCCCCCCACCCCCGCAATACTGTCCCACACCACTAAAAGAACAAATATCCTCTAAACACAGACCCAAATGTCACCCCGAAAGACGGAAACATCCACTAATACCTGACCTCCACTGTCACCCCTAAAGGGAGATCCCGCATAACCAGACCCCCACTATCACCCCTCTGTAAAGAAAAACATCCGTAGAACCAGGACCCTTACGTCGAGCCCTAAAGAGAAAAAATTCCTCTAAACCAGACCGCCAAATGTTCACCCCCTAGAAGGAGCGAAACATCCCCTCAGAAAGAGCCAGAGCCCACTGTCAATCCTCTAAAGATGAAAAAATTATCCTTCTAACCAACCCTCACTGTTGCCTCCTAAAGATGAAATATCTTCTATAACAGACCCCACTGTCACCCCCACTGAAGACGAAAAACTCCTCCCCGAAAACTAGGACCACCACTGTGAACCCCAAAGCAGACAACAAAACAGTCCATCTAACCAGACCCCCCTAACTGTCACCCCTAAAGAGGAAGGCGTAATGCCCAAAACCCAGGACCCCGCCCATGTCCCGCCTATAACGAAGAAATATCCTTATACAAGGAGACCCCACTTGTAACACGGTCCTAAAGCCAGGAGACCGCCCGCTCCTAGAAACCAGAAGCCCCCCTACTGTCACCCCTAAAAGTGAGACATCCCCCATAAAACAGACGCGCACCGGTCACGCCCTAAAGGAAAAAATGATCCTCTATCAACGCAGACCCCAATGTCACCCTAAAGAGGAAGAGCATACCATAGAACCGATGGGACCGCCACCCCTGTCACCCTAAAGAAGAAGAAGAACATCCCCCTAAAGCCTTTGGACCCCCCGACTGTTCACCCCTAAAGAGGATGATTCTCGACCAAATAAACCACGGACCACACTAGTCACCCCCCCTAACAGAACAAAACATCCCCGTAAACCAGCGGACCCCACTGTACCCCTAAAGAGGACGACTTCCCCTAAAACCAGACCCCCCTGGCACCCCTAGAAGAACAAATATCCCTCTAACCAGACCGCCAATGTCACTCCTCTAAAAGATGAACTATCCTCTAAACCAGGACCCCAATGTTGCCCGTAAAGATGAAATATCTCCCTTTACCAGACCCACTGTCACCCCTGACAGACCGAACACCCTAAAACCAGACCCCCACTGTCAACCCTAAAGAAGAAGCAACGCCCCATCCCATAAACCAGACACCGCCCCACGTCACCCCTGAAGAGGAGGAGAGCCCCTAAAACAGACCCACACTTGCACCCCTACCAAGAAGGAAACATTCCCCCCCCTAACCAGACCCCAATGTACCCCTAAAGAGGAGGACATAACTATAAAACCAGACCCATTTCATTGGTCTACCCTAAGAAGAAGAAAGACATACCATAAACCCCAGAACTCCCACTGTCACCCTAAAGAATGACCCACACATCCCTACAACCATGACCCCAATGTCACCACTAAAGACGGAACATCCACCCTAAACCAGACCCTCACTGTCACACCCCAGAACACCCCCCCCTCAAAAACATCCCATAAGACCGAGACTCAACCCTCCACCCAGAATAAACAACCACCCCTAAACCAAGGAACCTCAACTCCACCCCAGATCAACAACCACCCCTAAACAGCACTCAAGCCTCCCCCACAGAATCAGAAACGACCACCCCTAACACCAGACGTCACCAGCATCGACCCCAGATGATCAACGACCACCACACAGGCTAAGAGATGTGAAAAGATTCGAGCACAGTGGTCGACGAAAGCTAAGACAATCAGCAACATCCAGAGAACAGGTGTCTGCAGTTGCAGGGATGGGATTCACACAGGAAGGCGCCAGGAGCAGAGAGCAACACCCCCACTAACCCCAGGAATGGAGAAACAAGAGGAGAAGGTATGGCCAGAAGAGCATGAGAACGGTGTTACAGATCCCAAAGATGAAAACCCCAACAGTGACAGCGGAGACCCCTGTGGAGACCAAGTCCTCTGAGTGTAAAACCCGGCTGACGGTCGGGAGATATGCTATTACAAAGATCAGTCGCCAACCGTGGAAAGAACAGGATGTATCCATTTGACGTAGGTTTGAAAGAGTGAAAACAGTTGATGGGAAGATAACAGAACAGGACGGCCAATTTAAAAAGACGAGAGAAACGGATTCTTTACAGCCCGCCAGTGCTGGAGAGAGCCGAACGTGACAAAACTTGAAGAAGACACCATAGGACAATGTGCCTGGCCAATCGCAGAGAGCATAGCAACCTAAAACTTGGTGACCTTCCCTTAACTCCTTTTTAGAATCGACTCGCCCATTTAGAGGTCGAGTAAGGTTTTCTGTAAACTGAATGGTGAGCTTGCATGCCTTTTAAAGCAATATGAGCATCCCCCTGCGCCACCCCTTCCCCCAAACATAACTGGACACTTATATGTACAGTATCATGTTGGTGATCTGTCAATTATGAGGGAAAGTAAGAACTACTGTTGAGAGAGATTCACTGTAATATTGAATCGCAAGACAAATCAAAGCTGCTATTTTGCCTTGTATCTATTTATGTTTGCCCAATGGATGATAATGTGCATAGGAATGATTTAAGAGTGTTGGGCCTGACCTAATGTGATGTGATCATGCTTGATATGTCCCCGCTTGGAGGCAATAAATGATATTTGAAGAGCTAACTCTTCTGTTTCCTGCAGTTATTCTGACGAGCATGATGTGCTTTTTACACTGGTAAAATTGCATCACCATATAGAATTCTCCCCTATGTAGAAGCTAGGGTGAATGGTGTCCAAAACAGCAGCTAGGGCTGAGTTCAAGAATAAATAAGAGTATCCCCTTCCCCCGCTCTATGTGCACACACTTAACATGGCCGAGACTAACGGTTGAGCCTTTTATACTGAACAACAAATAAATGTCAATCCTACTGAGTTACAGTTCAATAGTATGGAGTATGAATAAAGTATTGAGCCATACTCTATGGATTGTCACGATGACTGGGAAAATATAGATATGAATCGATGTTGGTCATGGGATACCTTAACAAATAAGTTCAGATGGCATGGATCAGAAAACCCGTCAGTATTCTGGCCCCCTTTGTGACCCACATTGCCTTCATGCAGGCGTGAAACATCTCCTTCGTCATCTAGAGTTGATCAGGCTGTTGATGGGTTTTGACTTTGTGGCGCTGACTGTTGTCCCACTCCCCCCTTCAGATGGCCTGTGGTGAAGTTGAAGTTTTGCTGGTCCCCCATATCGGCGGCCGAACTGGAAATTCCCCTCCGCGGTCGTACCACGCGATTTCCCAGAGCCAGACCCAACAACACCGCTCAATGGGTGACATTTCTGTGTGTCACGCGCATGCTCGGGGTAATATTAATGTTGAGCCAGGGGTGTGGATTTTAGCCACCTGTTTAGTTTCCTTTTTTCATTGCGTTTTTGTTCTAGATCATTTAGTTCTATCGTGGCAAGCGTGTGGTTCCCAAAGCAGACGACAGCTGTTTAGCTCGTTGTTTGACGTCGGGCGCGCCATACTTAGGCAGCCTGGTGTGGGGGCAGTTAGGGGTGGGATCTTGTTCCGGTAAGGTTTGTGTTGTATAACCTCGGAGCTTCACGTATCGTTCATTTGTTGTTTTGGTTCGTGGGTACTAAATAAAGAATGTACGATTAGTCACGCTGCGCCTTGGTGCGCGCGTTCATCCAGTCGACGATGACGAGATTCCCCCGACTCAGGAGGACCAAGCAGAGGTGCCCAGGAGGAGAAGTGAGGGGGCGGGAATGGCCAGGTGGGCAAGAGGGTGTGTCATGGGAGGGACATATTCGCGGGGCAGGGAAGGCCATGGGCAAAAGTAAATGCCCGGGCAGGATGTAGGAGGAGGGAGAGAGAACGGCCCTGGCCCCAACCGTGCCGACGACGGGACCACGCGGAGAGGCAACGGTTAGGCAAGAGAGAGGGAGCGGAGAGGTTTATGGGGTGGAACCCCAGGTCCCGCTCCTCGCACCAAAGCAAGGTCGCGACGGTCCGTCCGTTCCTGATTCCCGCACTAGGCCAGGTGGGCGGTGGTTCCCGGTTACGCCCGGACCTGTTCCTGTCCCCGCACAAGGCTGTGGTGCGCGTCGCGAAGCCCGGTCCGGCCTGTTCATGCTCCCCGCCACCAAGGCCTGGTTGTGGTGGAGTCGCGGTGAGCGAGGCGCCGGTCCGGACTGTGCCTGGACTCCCCGCACCAAGGACCGTGGTGGGCGAGTCGCCAGGGCCCGGGTCCGGCCTGTGTCCTGCTCCCGAGCCACACCAGAACCAGGGTGCGCGGTTCGCCAGCCCGGTCGGGCTGTCCTGCTCCCCGCAGCCAAGCAGGTGGGGTGCGCGTCGCCAGCCCGGTCCGGCTGTCTTGCGCTGCGCCCGGGCGCCACCAAGCCCGTGGTGCGCGTCCCAGGCGTCCGCACCTGGTTCCTTCTCCCGCCAACCAAGCCAGTGGGTGCGCGCGCCAGCCGGTTCCCGGCCTGCTGTTCCTGGTTGCCCCGCACCAAGCGCCAGGTGGGTTGGGCGCGGTCTCCAGCCGGTCGGGCCGGTGCCTGCTCCCGCGCACAAGCCAGTGGGTGGTGAGCGTGAAGCCGGTCCGGCCGGTTACTTGCCCCCCCGCACCAGAATCCGGAGTGTGCGGCGTCGCAGAGCACGTCGGTCCGGCCCTGTTCCTGCTACCCGGCACCAAGCCGCACAAGTGGTTGCGCGTCGCAAGGTCCGGGATGGCCTGTTCCTGCTCCCCGCACCAAAGACAAGTTGGGGTGGCGCGTCGGTCAGCGCCGGTCCGGCCGGTTTCCTGTGTCGCCAGCACCAAGCTAGTGGTAAGCGTCGGTCAGTCCGGCCCGGTCCTGACTGTGGTACCACGGTGCTGGTCCAGCGACCGTCCAGTGCTAGCACTCCGGAGCACGAGCAATCCGGATCACCGGTTGTCCAAGTCCAGCTCGCAGGCCAGCAGGGCCGCAGACAAGACCAGTGGGCGAAACGGGGGGGGGGGGGGGGGGGGTAGAGAGAGAGGTGGTGGTCACGACCGGAGCCAAATCCCACTACGAGGCGGAATGGCCCACCGCTGGCACATACCCGTGTGTGTTGGTGTGAGAGCTGGGTTCGCAGTCAGGCAGCCTTGGAGGGGGGGATACTGTCACGCCATGGGCTCTGGGGACTTTAATTGTTGGCCAGGGTGTGATTGTTCTATGTTTGGTTCATTGGTTTTGTGTTCTAGAATCGTTCCCAAGTTTGATGGTGTGGCAGGTGTGGTGCGCCAATAGAGACAGCCATGCGAGAGAGGACCCTCGTCCCCCCCTAGCCTCGCCCCCTCCGTGTCTCGCCGCCCTCTCGGCCTTGGCTCGCCGCCCTGAGCCTTTCTATCGTGGGTTCCCCCTCCTCCCTTCTCCTTTTTCCCGACCCCCGCCCTCCCCCTGCGGCTATCCTTGGCCCCCGGGTGTTGGGTCTCTGATTGGGGACCATACTTCCAGGCAGCCACCTTGTGGCCCATGTTAGGGCCCCTGCCCTGGGATCTGTTCAGTAAGTTTCCGGTGTCAATAACCACCTAGGACTTGCACGTATCTTTTGTTGGGTTTTGGGTCCTGTGTGTGGTACTAAAGACCGAAGATTAGATGTACGCTTATAACGCTGCGGCACTTGTCCGCCCTTAATCATGTATGAATATCGTGACAGTGGTTTGAGTCCATGCAGTGACATGGAGAAATGGGGAAATTTGCAGCTTCCCTGGAATGGTGTACAGATCCTTGCGACCATGGGGCGGCCGTCCCGTGCAATTGGGACGTCGCGAGTATCACATTCTGACGCCTGTTAAGGTGGACAGTATCATGGTTCTGCTGCAGTTCGTGACATGTCAATTATGAGAAAGATAATGAAAAGCTCCTGTGAAAGAGATGCTGTTAGATATTGACGTGGAAGAATCAAAAGCTGTATTTTGCCGGTATCTATGTTACTCTCTTGCCAATGGGATGACCGAATGTGCCATGGGCACTGAAACTGGAGAGGTTGATAGTGATGTGATCCCAGTGTGAATCGTGACTGGAGCAAGTAAATGACTATTTGAAGTACGCACTTCTGGGTTGTCCAGCGCTATTTGAAGTGCGGTGCTATCAAGTCGCATTGATGAGATGCATCACTCTATAGGAATTTCCTCCCGAGATGTGAAAGGCAAGGTGAATTCCAAGAAGCCACTAGCCAGGGGTGTTGCCCAGCTTCCAAAATAAATCTAATTCCTCGCATCCTAGTTCCCATAAAATGGCGCATAGACTCGACAGTTGAGCCTTTTAAGATGAACATAAATATATATTTCGTTTTCAACATAGCTGAGTACAGCTTCATATAAGGAAAGCAATAAAGGTGGATTGTGATCATAGACATATTCTACAAATATATACCAGGTTTTTTTAACAGTGATGACTAAATGTTCCACGCCTTAAATATAGCCTTTGTGAAAGCTTCTTTTGTTTTAGGTATGATTAGTACTTTCTTAGGCGGGAATGTTATTAAACTCCCGAAACTGTGTGAAAATGTTTGTTAGAATCTTAAGACTTATAGAAAACTGATCATATGTGTAGCTTGAGTTCAGGCTGCTTCAGTTGATCCGACAAATGAGGGGCAGTCAGGAATATTGTGAGAAAGGCGATAAAACTTAGGAATGCCAGATAGTAGACTAGTGATAAGAACATGTGTGTGTATTGTATGTGTTGTTTTGTGTGTGTATGTGTGTTGTGTGAGTGGACCTGATGGTCAGGAGAGCGTTTTCAGTGGCACAAATTTCTACGACCCGGACTAAATAGGGGTCTGGGATCCCTTTTGATGTATGAGTGTGTGCGTTATAAGAAACTATTCTGTGTCTTCATTGACCATTTGTGGCAGACCTTATGAACTTGCCATATTGACCAAAGATCTCTGTACCCTACTGACAGTTGACCGCGGACTCGTCCATTCTTGATCCAATAAGCATTACAAATTTGGGACGCAGAGCCACTGAAATAGTTAGTTCAATACATGAATTCTGTCAGACAATCAGGCCCTAATCTGATGGGATTTCACGATGGATGGGAATACAGATCTGCATCGGTTGGTGCATGGATACCTTATCAAAAAAGTTAAGGGCATGGATGTCAACGGTGTGAACAAAGTGTTGCCCAATGGTGGCAGGTGGGGTGCTATGGTATGGGCCGGATAAGACAGGACGGACAACAAACACAATTGCATTTTATTGATGGCAATTTGAATGCCACAGAATACCGTGTGACATCCTGAGGCCAAATTGTCGTTGCCATTCATCACCTCATGTTTCAGAGATGGATAATGCACACCATGGGCCAGAGGATCTGACACGAATTCATGGAAGCGAAGTGAACATTTCCCAGGTCTCCTGGCCTGTGCATCCTCACCCAGACATGGTGTCACACATTGAGAATGGTTGGGCTGCTCGGAGTCGACGGTACGAAAGCGTGGTCTGTTGTTTTCACAAGTTCCCACCAATATCACAAGTAACCTTCGACACAACCGATTTGAAGAGGAAAGGGGGGGGTTTTTTTTGCGGAGCACAATTCAACATGGGCAACAATCACAGGCGTGATCATCTCTATGAGAAGGAGGAGGAGGGGAGTGTGTCACGGCTGGCATGAGGCACAGGGTGGTCCGGCACCACAGGCCCTACTTTTCTTTTAGGGATCTTGTGTGACCTGAACAGAGGCATATCTCTATTCGCCGTCATGTGAAATCCATCGATTAGGGCATAAGTAATTATGTTAAATTGAAGCTCTATGAACTGTTAACTCACGTAAAAGTTTGAAATGTTGCATGTTGCATTTATGATTTGTGTCAGTGATAACACTTGAGTGCACAAAACATTAAGAACCCCCAGCCCCCAACGTCCCCCCAAAAAGAAAAACTCCCTAAACCAGACCCCACTGTCACCCCTAAAGAGGAGACATCCCCAAAACCAGACCCCACTGTCACCCCTAAAGAAGAAATATCCTCTAAACAAGACCCCACTTTCACCCCTAAAAAGGAGACATCCCCAAAACCAGACCCCACTGTCACCCCTAAAGAAGAAATATCCTCTAAACCAGACCCCACTGTCACCCCTAAAGAGGAGACATCCCCTAAACCAGACCCCACTGTCACCCCTAAAGAAGAAACATCCCCTAAACCTGACCCCATTGTCACCCCTAAAGAGGAGATCTCCCATAAACCAGACCCCACTATCACCCCTAAAGAACAAACATCCCCTAAACCAGACCCCACTGTCACCCCTAAAGAACAAATATCCTCTAAACCAGACCCAACTGTCACCCCTAAAGAGGAAACATCCCCTAAACCAGACCCCACTGTCACTCCTAAAGATGAAATATCCTCTAAACCAGACCCCAATGTTGCCCCTAAAGATGAAATATCTTCTATACCAGACCCCATTGTCACCCCTGAAGAAGAAACATCCCCGAAACTAGACCCCACTGTCACCCCTAAAGAACAAACATCCCCTAAACCAGACCCCACTGTCACCCCTAAAGAAGGAACATCCCCTAAACCAGACCCCACTGTCACCCCTAAAGAAGAAACATCCCATAAACCAGACCCCACTGTCACCCCTAAAGAAGAAACATCCCCTAAACCAGACCCCACTGTCACCCCTAAAGAAGGAACATCCCCTAAACCAGACCCCACTGTCACCCCTAAAGAAGAAACATCCCATAAACCAGACCCCACTGTCACCCCTAAAGAGGAGACATCCCCTAAACCAGACCCCACTGTCACCCCTAAAGAAGAAACATCCCCTAAACCAGACCCCACTGTCACCCCTAAAGAAGAAACATCCCCTAAACCAGACCCCACTGTCACCCCTAAAGAGGAGACATCCCCAAAACCAGACCCCAATTTCACCCCTAAAGAAGAAACATCCCCTAAACCAGACCCCACTGTCAACCCTAAAGAGGAGGCATCACCTAAACCAGACCCCACTGTCACCCCTAAAGAAGAAACATCCCCTAAACCAGAACTATCTGTCACCCCTAAAGAGGAGACATCCCCTAAACCAGACCCCTCTGTCTACCCTAAAGAAGAAACATCCCCTAAACCAGAACTATCTTTCACCCCTAAAGAGGAGACATCCCCTAAACCAGACCGCACTGTCACCCCTAAAGAAGAAACATCTTCTAAACCAGACCCCACTGTCACCCCTAAAGAAGAAACATCCCCTAAACCAGACCCCACTGTCACCCTAGAATCAACAACCACCCATAAACCAGACTCAACCCTCACCCCAGAATCATCGACCACCCCTAAACCAGACTCAACCCTCACCCCAGAATCAACGACCACCCCTAAACAAGACTCAACCCTCACCCCAGAATCAACAACCTCCCCTAAACCAGACTCAACGCTCACCCCAGAATCAACAACCACCCCTAAACCAGACTCAAACCTCACCCCAGAATCAACAACCACCCCTAAACCAGACTCATTCCTCACCCCAGAATCAACGACCACCCCTAAACCAGACTCAACCCTCACCCCAGAATCAACGACCACCCCTACAGAAGAGAGTGAAACGATCAACAGCGGTGACAAAGCTAAGACAATCACACCACCAGAGAAACAGGTGTCTGCATTTGCAGAGAGCATGGATTCACACAGGGAGGTGCCAGAGAGCAAGACAACTCAGGAGAAACCAGAGGAAAGTATGGCCAAAGAGCCTGAGAAGGTTACAGATCCCAAAGATGAAACCCCAAAGACAGAGAGCGTGAAGACCAAGTCCTCTGAGTTAAAACCTGAACATGTGGCGATATCTATTACAAAGACATCTCCAGTGAAAGAACAGGATGTATCAGACGTAGGTTTGAAAGAGAAAACAGTTGATGGGAAGATAACAGAACAGGCGCAATTTAAAATAGACGAGAACGGCTTTACAGGAGGTGATGGAGAGAGCAAAGATGACACAACTTTGAAGAAGACAACAGGACAAGATGCTGAGCCAATCGCAGAGATGCAAGCTAAACCTAAAACTTGGGACTTAACCTCTTTTTAGAATGACTAGATTTAGAGGTCAGTAGAGGTTTCTGTAAAACTGCATGGTTAGTGCAAGCCTTTAAAGCAATATGAGCACTGCTCCACCTTAAGAAATTAACTGACACTTAATATGTACAGTATCATGGTTCGTGACTGTCAATTATGAGGCACAGTTAATGAACTCCTGTGAGAGAGATGCACTGTAATATTGAATGTAACAAATCAAAAGCTGTATTTTGCTGTATCTATTTACTTCTGCCCAATGGATGATAATGTGCATAGGAATGATAATGTGAATGGTTGGTAATGTGATTTGATCATGCTTGAATGTGCTGAGCAATAAATGCTATTTGAAGAGCACTTCTGTTTCCAGCTATTCTGACATGCTGTGCTGTATTTCGCCTGATAAAATGCATCACATATAGAATTTCTCCACTATGTGGAAGCTGGGTGAATTCCAACAGCACTAGGCTGAGTTCAAAATAAATAAATATCCCCTTCCCCCGCATCCTATTTCCCCATAACATGGCAGAGACTCACGGTTGAGCCTTTTATATTGAACAACAATATAAATGCAACATACTGAGTTACAGTTCATATAAGGATATGAATAAATGTATTAGGCCCTAATCTATGGATTTCACATGACTGGGAATATAGATATGCATCGGTTGGTCATTGATACCTTAACAAATAAGTTAGTGGCATGGATCAGAAAACCCGTCAGTATCTGGTGTGACCACCATTTGCCTCATGCAGCGTGACACATCTCCTTCGCATAGAGTTGATCAGGCTGTTGATTGTGGCCTGCTGAATGTTGTCCCACTCCTCTTCAATGGCTGTGTGAAGTTGCTGGACATTGGCGGGAACTGGAACACGCGGTCGTACACGTCGATCCAGAGCATCCCAAACACGCTCAATGGGTGACATGTCTGGTGAGTATGCAGGCCATGGAAGAACTGGGCAATTTTCAGCTTCCTGGAATTGTGTACAGATCCTTGCGACATGGGGCCGTGCATTATCATTCTGACGCTTTATATGTACAGTATCATGGTTCGTGACTGTCAATTATGAGGCACAGATAATGAACTCCTGTGAAAGAGATGTACTGTAATATTGAATGTAAAAATCAAAAGCTGTATTTTGCTGTATCTATTTACTTCTGCCCAATGGATGAGAATGTGCATAGGAATGATACTGTGAATGGTTGATAATGTGATTTGATCATGCTTGAATGTGCTGAGCAATAAATGCTATTTGAAGAGCACTTCTGTTTCCAGCTATTCTGACATGCTGTGCTATAAGTCGCCTGATGAGATGCATCACATATAGAATTTATCCCCTATGTGAAAGCAAGGTGAATTCCAAAAGCACTAGGCTGAGTTCAAAATAAATCTCCCTTCCTCCGCATCCTATTTCCCCATAACATTTACATTTTAGTCATTTAGCAGACGCTCTTATCCAGAGCGACTTACAGTTAGTGAATACATCTTTTTTTTTTTTTTTTTTTTTTTTTTTTTTTTTTTTTTAACATGGCATAGACTCACGGTTGAGCCTTTTATACTGAACAAATGTATAAACGCAACATACTGAGTTACAGTTCATATAAGGAAATCAATAAATGTATTAGTGATATAGAAATTAAAATATACACAGGTTAAAAGTAATGACTAAATGTTCCACCCTTAAATATAGTTGTGAAATGTTCTTGTTTTAAGTATGATTAGTACTTTGTTAGTAGTGACTAATTATTACAATCCGAAACTGTGTGAAAAGTGTTACAATCATAAGACTATAAACTGATAATATGTGTAGCTTAGTTAGAAGTACAATGAGGCAGTCAGAATATTGTGAGAACGGCGATAACTGAGGAATGCAGAGAGTAGACTATGATAAGAACATGTGTGTGTATGTATGTGTGTTTATGTGTATGTGTGTGTGTGTGTGTGTGACCTGATGGTCAGGAGAGCAGTTTTCAAGTGGAAAACTACGACCCGCCTAAATAGGGGTGGGATTTTTGTATGATGTGTGCGTATAAGAATATTGTATGACCATTTTGTGGCAGAATTCTCAATGAATAAAGATCTCTGACTATGCAGACCGGGACTCTGTCCGTTTCTTGATCCAAAAGCATTACAACATTTTGGGAGACGCACAGAGACACTGAAATAGTTAGTTAAATAATTCTCATAACAATTAGGCCCTAATCTGTGGATTTCACATGACTGGGAATACAGATATGCATCTGTTGGTCATGGATACCTTATCAAAAAAGTTAAGGGCATGGATGTCAACGGTGTGAACAAAGTGCCCCATGGTGGCGGTGGGGTTATGGTATGGGCAGGCATAAGCTTCGGACGACAACAAACACAATTGCATTTTATTGATGGCAATTTGAATGCACAGAGATACCGTGATGACATCCTGAGGCCCATTGTCGTGCCATTCATCACCTCATGTTTCAGCATGATAATGCACGGCCCCATGTTGCAAGGATCTGTACACAATTCCTGGAAGCTGAACATTTCCAAGTTCTTCCATGGCCTGCATACTCACCAGACATGTCACACATTGAGCATGGTTGGGATGCTCTGGATCGACGTGTACGAAAGCGTGTTCCTGTTCCCACCAATATCCATTAACGTCGCACAACCATTGAAGAGGAGTGGGACAAAATTCAACAGGCAACAATCAACAGGCTGATCATCTCTATGAGAAGGAGATGTGTCACGCTGCATGAGGCAAATGGTGGTCCGATCCACGCCCCTACTTTTCTTTTAAGGTATCTGTGACCAACAGATGCATATCTCTATTCCCAGTCCTGTGAAATCCATAGATTAGGGCCTAAGTAATTTATTTAAATTGACTCTATGAACTGTAACTCAGTAAAATGTTTGAAATTGTTGCATGTTGCATTTATATTTTTGTTCAGTGTATATACACTGAGTGCACAAAACATTAAGAACACCTTCTCTTTCCATGACATAGAATGACCAGGTGAATCCAGGTGAAAGCTATGATCCCCTATTGATGTCACCTGTTAAATCCACTTCAAACAGTGTAAATGAAGGGGAGGAGACAGGTTAAAGAAGGATTTTTAAGCTTTGAGACAATTGAGACATGGATTGTGTATGTGTGCCATTCAGAGGGTGAATGGGCAAGACAAAACATTTAAGTGCCTTTGAAAGGGGTATGGTAGTTCGTATCAGGCGCACCAGTTTGAGTTTGTCAAGAACTGCAACGCTGCTGGGTTTTTCACGCTCAACAGTTTCCCTTGTGTATCAAGAATGGTCCACCACCCAAAGGACATCCAGCCATCTTGACGCAACTGTGGGAAACATTGGAGTCAACATGGGCCAGCATCCCTGTGGAACGCTTTCGACACCTTGTATAGTCGATACCCCGACGAATTGAGTGCAACTCAATATTAGGAAGGTGTTCCTAATGTTTTGTACAGTCAGTGCATATACTGAGTGACTTTCACCTGGTCTAAAAGCACTTTATCTACACCTTTTTGGTATAGGGGGTTATGGCAGTTAGGGGCTACAAGTTAAATATTACAATGCCCCGAAATTATAAACATGTTGCCTATGAAATGTGTTAAAATATGTGAATCACTGAGTATCCTATTCTAACATACATCTATCAAGTGACATGGAGTTAATTTAGTGCTTATTTTTGTGATGATACACAATTTTACAATAAAAAATATGTTTGCTGAAACATTGCTTTGTTTTCTATTTAATACTCTCTCCATAGAGGTTTTCATGTCTGATCAAGAGTGTAAATATCATATTCTGATATCATATTCATATGATTCATTCAAATACATCATTGATTTCTGTGAGCAACCTACCGTATACTGCTTGTAGTGGGGTGTGAATGAAGGCTGTAACACTGGAACACATCCAGGCCATTTGCTTGTTTTCTGGCTTTTCAGCCAAGCAGACCCATGCATTTTCCTCATGTAGACATTAGTAAAAAGGTGCAAGATTACAGGGCAACTCCACCCCTTTTCAAGCTCATTTTCACAGGTTTGGTGCTGGAGATGATGAATGTGAGGTTGAAAAGTGGCTGGAATGCCCTTTAAAAGTGCTGCTTGACTGAGAAATGGGAGTAGTTATGTCTAGGCTTAGGGTCATTCTTAATTACTATTTTACACTTGCATTACAGTCTCTTGTATACAGTAATATACAGTTCTATTACAAGGCAAGCATATTCAGCCAAACCAGAATTTGCAGCCCCTTTCGATAATATCAAGAAAATCATCAAAACAAGGAAAGCCCCTTGGATAAAACAATAGTCTGAACACCGGACAATTTATTGAAAACATATGACTTATAATTTTGAGGCGACATTGTTGACTGCCGAAGTTTCAAAGTGAAATGATCTCCTATGCGTAACTGCTGTCTGCGACAAAACGATGAGGGAGAGAGAGAGAAAGATAGAGAGAGAGACAGGGAGGACAGGTTAAGACGCGCGCGTTGGCAGACAGTCAAGCCAACAGCTGATTCTATACATTTTCAGCACTATGGACAGTTCTATTCTGCAGCCCGAGCAGACTGAGGGGGTATAAAAGGTAGGAGCCGCGCTGCTTAGCCTGCACACCAACACGGCTGAGTCTACTGAGACAATATGAGCCACAGAATGGAGTATCCTTCGGGTTCTCCGCATAGGGGAGCTCAATCTGAGTATTCCCGCTATCAACCCAAACTGACTGGATCCCCCTCTGCGTCCAGGACCGTTGGCTTTGAGTCGACTACCGCATCTATGAACAGAGGATATGCGACGACGCTGAAGAACGAATTCGGATCCGTTCCGAGATCATCGGAGAGCTTTTTTGATTTCTCAAACCAATTTACCGGGGTGTTGACGAAAATGAATGAGAAAGAACTGCTCCATGGGCTGAACGACCGTTTCGCCGGATTCATAGAGAAGGTGCGTCATTTGGAGCATCAAAATGAATTGCTCGAGAGGGAAATCGAGGAAATCAAACAGAAGGCACAGTCCCCTGCGTCTCTGGCCCATGAGCACGAGCCGGAGCTTATGGATCTGAGGAAACGAGTTAATGACATCACCCTTCAGAAGCGTCAGATCGAGATAGAGCATCAGAACCTGGAGGAAGATTTCCTCACCTTGAGAGACAAGTACGAGCAGGAGGCGCGTGACCGCTCGGACGCAGAGAACGGCATCCTTGTGCTGAAAAAGGACGCCAACGATGCATACCTCGCCAAACTTCAGTTGGACAAGAAAGCGCAGTCTCTAGTGGACGAGATCCACTTCCTGAAGAAGAACCATGAGGACGAGGTATCGGAGATGGTGGCCAAGATCCAAGAGGCTCAGGTAACGGTCAAGGCGCACGACTTTGGCAAACCCGAAATCACTGCGGCTCTCCGGGACATCCGTGCACAGTTAGAAGGTCACGCTGCCTCCGACATTCAGCAGGCGGAGGAGGGCTTCCGTGTCCAGTTCGCAAAGTTAACCAAAGCGGCAGAGAGCAACAGAGAGGCGCTGAAGGCGACCCAGCAGGAGATCCAGGAGAATAGAAGGTGCCTGCAGGGAAAAAATATTGAACTGGACTGCGGGAAAGGAACGAGAGAGGCCCTGGAAAAACAACTACAACACGACTGGAAGAGCGTCACTATGTGGGAAATGATTCATACCCATGTAGGCTGTGGTTTATTTTGTACCTCTAATCATTGTAAATAACATACGCTTTTTATGATTCATATTTGTATTCAGGCCTATGTTGTGGGTGTCGGCCACAAATATAGCCCCATGTGAACTATACCATTATTGGAATATAATTCTCATATAGGCCTATAGGGGTAGAACATTAATTAAAAACAAAAAAAAAAAAAACAAAAGAAAAAAAACCAAAAACAACACAAGCCGAAAACACAAACAATAAAAAATAGACACAAAAAACAAACAAAAAAAACACATAAAAAGGAAAAATAAAAAAGACACACAAAAAGAAACAAAAAAAACGAAAAAAAAAAAAAAAGAAAAATAAACCACCCCACCCCACCCACACCCCCCCCGCCCCCCCCACCCCCCCCCCCCCCCCCCCCCCCCCCCCCCCGCCAACCACCCCCCCACAACCCTCCCCACCACCAGGTACCCCCACCCCTAAATTTCTCCCGTGTCATACCAACCAAAGTGGCGGTGGACACTATTATTTGACTCTATGTGTGCTTTTTCTGTCCAGGACACTATCAGGCAGCTGGAGAAATGAGCTGACCACTGCTAAAACTAGACATGTATGGCTACTGCGAGAAAGTACCAGGACCTGCTTGAATGGCAAAATGGCTTGGATGTGGAGCATTCTCTCTTACAGGTAAGAGACATCAACTCCATCTCTCCCATATATAATATCATTGACTGAGGAAAATACCATATATTTTATAGTGTGTTCCTGGATCTTTTTCTGAGGATAACCAAGGGGTGTGCATTTTATTCTAGCCCAGCACTAACACATCTGATTAAACTTAGAGCTGGGTTAGAGCAAAACTGTGCAAAAGTGTCATAGTGTTAGTGAGGGATTACTACAAAACACAGTAAATAGTGAACAATGAAGAAAGACCAATCAAATTAAACAGTAGACATTTTATTGAAATAGTTTGATTTCATATTTAACCTCAAATGACCACAGACCATATCACAACACAGAATGACACTTTAATCATACTATGGATAATCAGACACATCCACACACATTGGTAGCGTCGCAAGCCGCCTGATCTGGCGAGCTCACATGGATGTGCACAGCGGTGATCAGTCTGGTATTTACGAGGCTAACACATTGGGACATATCCATATTATAGTCATGACGGTAATAACAGGTATTTCTGTCTCCCTATAGGAAACTCCTGGAGGGTGAGGAGTCCCGTCTGTACACCATCTCTGACACCCACATCTCCATGCCCTGCATCTACAACCAGCCCCCCGTCTACACCCTGCCTTGCCTGGCCCGGCAGGGAGGTCCCACACGCAGATCTGTGCCCCAGTACAAGTTTGTAGAGGAGATCATAACTGAGACCACCAGAGAGGTGGAGATGTCCGAGATCGAGGAGACAGGCTCCGAGGAGACAGGCTCAGAGGAGACAGGCTCCGAGGAGACGGTCGGGGGACAGGGAGAGGAGCTGAGACAGAAGCAGGGAGAAGAGCGTGACAAAGCTGATAGGAGGAGTGGGGAAGAGGAGGATGAAGAGAAAGAGAAAGATGGAAGTAAAGTGGATCTTGAAGTGGACGCCCCAGAGGAAAAGGGTGAACAGGAGGAAGAGTCTAAGAGACAGCAGATGGAAACATCAGCAGAGGTAGCGATGAATGGAGATGGAGTTAACCCTAGCGAGGGAGAAGATGGAGAGGAAGGAGATGACGAAAGAGAGGAGGAAAAGGGGGATGAGCCAGATGAAGTAAAAAAGACAGAGGACATTGACAGAGGTGAAAAAACACCAAGTGAAGTCAAATCAGCTGAGGCCACCCGTAAGGGAGAGAAGGAAAAACTGGACACAACCGAGGAGCTAGACACCAAGAAAAAGGAGACATTAGAAAAAGATGACGCCCCAAAACATGACGAGTCCAAACCAGAGGTTCCCATGAACGGTGACAGCTCAACAGAACCCAAAACAGGAAGTTCAATAAAGGGTGAACCACAGGTCCCCATGGAGGACATCTCCAAAGAATCCAAAAAGGTGTCAGAGGAGAGAAAAAAAGAAAGTCATTTAAAAGAGAAAAAAGAGATAGATCTGAAAGAGGAGAGTGCCTCAACAGAGCAACAGCAGGATAGCCCAAAAGAAAGTCCCATCAAAGAGAGAAAAGAGGTAGATATGACAGAGCAGAGTGCCCCAACACTGGAGCAGAAACGTGATCAGAAGGAGCACAGAGAGTCAGACCAACCTCAAGAGGTAGAGAGTGCTGTGACAACACAAGAGGCAGAGTGCGATGTGAGAACACAAGAAGAGGATCTCCCTGAGACCACAGAGAAGGACATGGAATCCCCTGATATCACTGCAGAGCTGAAGAGCAGTTCAACCAAAGCGGCAGTGGAGCAGGTGAAGTCACCAGATGATTCTGGTGTAAAAACGACACAGGATGACACAACAGTAGGAGGTAAAATTCCAGACGGAATTCCCAGCACAACAAGTGAGTGGAAGGAAGAGCATGTGCCAATGATTCCTGGAAAGGAGGTGGGTCCGAAAGAGCCAAACGTGGGCAACAAGGATGATAGTGTAAAAAAGGTTGAGCTGAATGAATCGAATGGCAGTGAAAATTTCACAAAAGATGTCTCAACAGCTGAGGAAAAAGTGAAAGAATCTGAGACATCCCCTAAACCAGACAAAACCGTCACCCCAAAAGAAGAAACATCCCCTAAACCAGAGCCAACATTCACCCATAAAGAGGAGACATCCCCTAAAGCAGACCCCACTGTCACCCCTAAAGAGGAGACATCCCCTAAACCAGACCCCACTGTCACCCTTAAAAAGGAGACATCCCCAAAACCAGACCCCACTGTCACCCCTAAAGAGGAGACATCCCCTAAACCAGACCCCACTGTCACCCCTAAAGAAGAAATATCCTCTAAACCAGACCCAACTGTCACCCCTAAAGAGGAAATATCCCCAAAAACAGACCCCACTGTCACCCCTAAAGAAGAAACATCCCCTAAACCAGACCCCACTGTCACCCCTAAAGAGGAGACATCCCTTAAACCAGACCCCACTGTCACCCCTAAAGAAGGAACATCCCCTAAACCAAACCCCACTGTCACTCCTAAAGAGGAGACATCCCCTAAACCAGACCCCACTGTCACCCCGAAAAAAGAAACATCCCCTACCCCAGAACCCACTGTCACCCCTAAAGAAGAAACATCCCCTAAACCAGACCCCACTGTCACCTCTAAAGAGGAGACATCCCCTAAACCAGACCCCACTGTCACCCCTAAAGAAGGAACATCCCCTAAACCAGACCCCACTGTCACCCCTAAAGAACAAACATCTCCTAAACCAGAACCCACTGTCACCCCTAAAGAGGAAACATCCCCTAAACCAGACCCCACTGTCATCCATAAAGAACAAACATCCCCTAAACCAGACCCCACTGTCACACCAAAAGAGGAAATATCCTCTAAACCGGACCCAACCACCACCCCTAAAGTAAAAACGTCCCCTAAACCAGACCCAACCATCACCCCTAAAGAGGAAATATCCCCAAAACCAGACCCCACTGTCACCCCTAAAGAAGAAACTTCCCCTAAACCAGACCCCACTGTAACCCCTAAAGAGGAGACATCCCCTAAACCAGACCCCACGGTCACCCCCTAAAGAAGGAACATCCCCTAAACCAAACCCCACTGTCACTCCTAAAGAGGAGACATCCCCTAAACCAGACCACACTTTCAACCATAAACAGGAGACATCCCCTAAACCAGACCCCACTGTCACCGCTAAAAAGGAGACATCCCCAAAACCAGACCCCACTGTCACCCCTAAAGAGGAGACATCCCCTAAACCAGAACCCACTGTCACCTCTAAAGAGGAGACATCCCCTAAACCAGACCCCACTGTTACCCCTAAAGAAGGAACATCCCCTAAACCAGACCCCACTGTCACCCCTAAAGAAGAAACATCCCATAAACCAGACCCCACTGTCACCCCTAAAGAGGAGACATCCCCTAAACCAGACCCCACTGTCACCCGTAAAGAGGAGACATCCCCTAAACCAGACCCAACTGTCACCCCTAAAGAAGAAACATCCCCTAAACCAGAACTATCTGTCACCCCTAAAGAGGAGACATCCCCTAAACCAGACCCCTCTGTCTACCCTAAGGAAGAAACATCCCCTAAACCAGAACTATCTGTCACCCCTAAAGAGGAGACATCCCCTAAACCAGAACCCACTGTCACCCCTAAAGAAGAAACATCCCCTAAACCAGACCGCACTGTCACCACTAAAGAGGAAACATCCCCTAAACGAGACTCCACTGTCACCCCTAAAGAAGAAACATCCCCTAAACCAGACCCCACTGACACCCCTAAAGAAGAAACATCCCCTAAACCAGACCCTACTGTCACCCCAGAATCAACAACCACCCATAAACCAGGCTCAACTCTCACCCCAGAATCAACGACCACCCCTAAACCAGACTCAACCCTCACCCCAGAATCAACGACCACCCCTAAACCAGACTCAATCCTCACCCCAGAATCAACGACCACCCCTACAGAAGAGAGTGAAACGATCAGCAGTGGTGACAAAGCTAAGACAATCACACCACCAGAGAAACAGGTGTCTGCAGTTGCAGAGAGCATGGATTCACACAGGGAGGCGCCAGAGAGCAACACAACTCAGGAGAAACCAGAGGAAAGTATGGCCAAAGAGCCTGAGAAGGTTACAGATCCCAAAGATGAAACCCCAAAGACAGAGAGCGTGAAGACCAAGTCCTCTGAGTTAAAACCTGAACATGTGGAGATATCTATTACAAAGACATCTCCAGTGAAAGAACAGGATGTATCAGACGTAGGTTTGAAAGAGAAAACATTTGATGGGAAGATAACAGAACAGGCGCAATTTAAAATAGACGAGAACGGCTTTACAGGAGGTGATGGAGAGAGCAAAGATGACACAACTTTGAAGAAGACAACAGGATAAGATGCTGAGCCAATCGCAGAGATGCAAGCTAAACCTAAAACGTGGGACTTAACCTCTTTTTAGAATGACTAGATTTAGAGGTCAGTAGAGGTTTTCTGTAAAACTGCATGGTTAGTGCAAGCCTTTAAAGCAATATGAGCACTGCTCCGCCTTAAAAAATTAACTGACACTTAATATGTACAGTATCATGGTTCGTGACTGTCAATTATGAGGGACAGTTAATGAACTCCTGTGAAAGAGATGTACTGTAATATTGAATGTAACAAATCAAAAGCTGTATTTTGCTGTATCTATTTACTTCTGCCCAATGGATGTGAATGTGCATAGGAATGATCATGTGAATGGTTGATAATGTGATTTGATCATGCTTGAATGTGCTGAGCAATAAATGCTATTTGAAGAGCACTTCTGTTTCCAGTGTGGTGTCGAGACAACGATGCTGATATGCTGTGTAGACAAGGAATCCGCTGACACTGTAATTGATTATAAAGATTTATTATATCAAAGGTTCCAGCATCAATTTAAAGATTTCTGCAGAAATCCGGAGAACAACTAACCCAATCTAAAAATGATTATTCTCCCAGTCCTTTGTTCAAACATGGTATTTATCCTATGTAACACAATATGGGTGTTTTGAATAGACCAATCCCTGGCTTCCAAATATCCAAGTCTCCTCTGTTTCAGGGGGCCCCTATAGTAATGTTTTCCAGATGTTTCAGCAAGGCAAAATTTGCAAACGTCAGCCAAAATTATAAACTGTTCAGATACTACATATTTCCCCCCTTCGAGACTAATTAAGTCTCGAAAACAAAAAGAATAGGATTATGACAAATAACAATTTTTCTTCTTGAGTAACTTCAGCAATAAAACAAAATGTATGGAGAGTAAACACATTTTTATATAGACACATTTTTGTGGAGTGTAAACAAATTGTTATGGAGTGTAAGAGCGAAAAACCTGTCTTTCATTCCAAATATCCATCAATTAATCAAGACAGGAAAATTCTCTCACGGCCCCTCTGCCCCAGGCGACCACCTAAGTACTCCAGATCAATTTATAAATCTTTATCAATGCATTTTAAGCTATGATGCAATTGAATACACATGAAAACCTCCGAAAACAAAATACAATCAAAAATGTCCACATTCAGTCTGGTCGACCCATCGGACCCTCCTGTGGATTCTCTCTGTCCCTGCCTAGACCCAATATTCCTAAGCATTGTCGACTTTCAATGTAACGTCGATGATGGAATCTGAACATTTCCACACCTTCCTTGTTCCACTTCCTCCTGTCCATTCATATTGTCCATGTTTGAGTATTTGAATCCCACTCTACACATCCCCATATACTTCTGGAAGAAAAGAAAACACCAACCAGTATCTTTTGCAAAACAACACATGCAAATTAAAACATCAATATCAAAAATAATATAAAAATGATATATAAAATGAATCACATTCCATTTCCCACCTTTGATTGATGAGAAAATACTAAATATCACAATAATATGTAAAGACGTGAAAAATGATTGGATATTCTAAATGGATATCTATCCATCAATACTCCATCCAGTCCCACTTGTTTATCTCCATCTAGATCAGTAACAGTTAACAACGGCATCTGAGTGTTGTCTCCAGGCATCACAACTCCAACCATCTCAATATCATAGCCTTTGCAAAAGTCAATAACAAAGTACAAAAGCAAAACATCACACACAGCGCTACAAGAGCTGCTACTAAAATCTGAACTATCACTGCTCCCACTGGGCCTAACTGATCTTGCAACCAAGCCTTCGCTGACCATCCAGCTCCTTCAGATTGACCAAACGCATCCCTTATAGTCTTCAATGCATCTATAACACTAGTGATATTATCGGAACTATCGGGGATCAAAGTATAATAATCGTCCCCCGTCAAGTTCATAGCCACACATAAGCCACCTTTTTTGGCTAAAATATAGTCAAGAGCCATGTCATGTTTCAATAGCGTCAGTCGGTGACTTTTCTGAGTATTTGACAGAAGGTTAAACCCTCGTATCGTTTTGTTTGCAAAACCCTGCAACGTATAGGTAATATTGTCAATATGATCAGCCAAGAATTTTACACCATACCATGGAAAAAGTCCAAGTCCCCACTTCTCTCCTAGACTTATCCTACAATGGTAGGATTCCAGATTATGAAATTGCGCCATTTCCCTTTTCACCCTATTTCCAGACCTAGAATCAGATTGAGCTGTGTCCGGTGCTTCCCCCTTTTGAATGGTATAAATCTCATATGGAAGCTTCAACGTCGACATGTAACAACATCCTGTCCATCCATAGGTTAAGAATATATAGGCTTTGTCACCACAAACCCACCAAATATCTCGAAAGTTCCCTATAGTCACATTGCCAGGCAAAAGCTGATCTTTTACCATCAAAGTCCTGCTCTTCTTACTAAATGGAACAGAAAAAGTTACTTTATATATCTCATCACTAACCTTACGGTCATGCATACCCAAAGTCATCATATAATCATTACAATCTGATACTCCCATAAACATACCCGGTCCATCATATGTTTTATTTGAACAAAAACAGCTTTTAGCCCTCACACGTTTTACCTCCAGTGCTTCAGGAATCGCTGTTAACTTATTTTCCTTCCGATCTAACAAATTCACATAGGGTAATTCATTTAACCAAGAACAATTAAACCTAGGCCTAAACAAATGCTTCGACAACGACATCATTATATCTGTTAATGATTGTTGCTGATACAACAGCCATGATAAAGCATAAGATTGACACGCAGTTGATAGAGGTTGAGCCACTGTCTCTAAGATTGAACCCCATGTGCCTGGTGCTGGAATTCTCAACAGACATGGACCCTCAAGATTACTCACTGATCTTACAGAATGAGTTAACTGCTGGAACCATAGATTCCTACCTGCCCATCCATCTTTAATTTGCAAAACAGAATAATCAAATCCATATGCCTTCCATTTAGTTTCTCTCTTCCCTAACGAGCGGTATTGATCAGATATATCTTCTGTTGTTCCATCAAAATTAAAGAACTCATCTTGTACCTCCGGCATAGAATTCTGCACGATTTCAGATGAATCTTCATCATTCTCTGCTACCATCTGCTCTCCTATTTCAACACTATCCTTACTACTATTTACACCAATCTCCATCTGTATCATAGACTTCTGAGTTTACTACATCCTTTAATTTCAGAAAAGCTGTTGTTGGTGTCTGTATCACATTTCCGAAATGTGTTATCGCCGTCGTAACATTAATCTCTTTCAGAGTTACTGTTAAGATAGTGGCTTTAGTTGATGTATTAACACTCTTAATTATTTCCAGGGGCAAAGTGGCAGATATCCTCTGTGTATTATTTACTCTTGGAGTGACTACTGTAATATACTGCTCCTGAACTCCTTTGGTGACTGTGGAAACTTCAACAGACTTTAAATCTTTCATCATAAGCGTCACCTTACGAGTTACATAGCCTTCTAACCAGTAATTCTTAACCGGAACAAATTTGAACGCTGGCTCTAAATAAGTACAAGTATATTCTCCCTGATCTTCCCATGTAACATTACGCAAAAGAAGTGAGCAATCACTCATAACCCTCTTCCACTTCATATCGTTGTACAAAATATACTTCCTTTGACTAGGGGGCACAGCTTCTACTTCTGTTCCTGATAACAACACTTCTTCTCCATAATTATCTCTCCACGTGGGAGGAATGTCACCACCCCCACTCCGTCTCTCACATCTACAAGGAAGATGAGCTGCACCACCCATCCTAACCCTAATGACAGTCTTTTTTTTCTAAAATTGGTGTTGGAGCGATTTTCTGAGGCGCCATTGTAATCAAATGTGATACATTTATAGCTTTAATAACTGTCAACGTTAAAAGAGTTGAATTGCTTCTCATTGTTGTTGTATTAGGCTGAAGTGTTGATGTCATTGTTGATGATTCATCTATTATCCCTACAGCTTTGAGCTCTTTACTTGTATTTCCATTTATCACCACTAGTGTCACTACATTAACTTTCAGTCCCGACTCTAATCCCTCACTTTCAAACTGTGGATTATAAAAAATACATTTATAATCACCTTGATCCTCCTGCTGGGAATTGTACACATAGAGACTGCAATCACCCTCACTCTTCAGTCTTCTTTTATCATTCAGCAACGCATACTTTCTCAATGCAACTGCTCCTAACAAATCTAAATTCCTGCCATAGCTATCTTCCCACTGAACTCTTAATTTCCCTTCACCACTGTTCTCTCTCGTACACTGACATGGGAGCTGAGCTGACTTTCCTAGAGTTACTTCAACCCTAGTTTTCGTAACGTTTTGGTCTGACTTTTTTCCTAACTGGTCTGGGGCTACTTTGTCTAACTGAATCACCAGCTTCTCCTGTAACAGAGTTGCCCTTGGTGATCTCTGCGGTTTCACATTCCACTGAAATATGCCCTGTTGTTTCTGGGACGCATTGAAAATCAATGTCCCCAAATCTCCTTTCCTGTCCATCTATTGCAGAGTCATCTCTGGCATCATCAGAAGTGTACACATCATCATCAACGTTGTCCACCGCATGGACAATCTCTCCTTCTGGGTTTTGACTCTGGATATTGTCATGCATCTCTCCTTCTGCCTGTTCTTCCCTATCTTTATCCTGCTCTCTTGAGCCTTCAACATCCTGTCTCTCTGCGCGTGGCACCTCTTCTCTAGGCGCTTTAACACAATGTGACAAATGATACCACGTTGGAGACCCTTTAACCTGGACAGCCGTTCCAGTACTACGAACAACTTCAAATGGTCCCTCACGACGTTCGTTATACCACTTCCTTCTAAATACCTTCACGAACACTTTGTCCCCAGGTTGCACTGTACTCCTTTTTTGCTCATCAAGCTTCTCCTGCACCTCTTCTTTTCTTTGCCTGTCAGAAACATATGTGGACAACTTTTTATGAAAATTGGCCATATATGTAACGTGCGCTCTCATTTC